GCAGGTTACTGTGCCTCTCTATTCCCTAGTTGACAGTACTTACACACTTACCACCTGTCTCCTGGTGGGTGCGATAGTGTGAAAGTGGCTACACAGATCTCTGTTAACTCTTTGTGAAGAGAAGTTAGGGTGAGTTACTTGACTGCTAACCATAAGCCTGGCAGTTCAAACCCACCAGCCACTCCTCAGAAGGAAGGTTGGGCAATCTACTTCCATAGTGATACCACCTCAGAAACCCAAGGAAGGGTTGCTTTGAGTCGAGTCCGACTCGACAGCACACAACAACAACAACAGGTCATGTTGGCTGTCATGTATTGTTGACTAGTTGGTGCAGAAGCAAGTGGTGGCCCTCACTCAGTAGATGGAGCTGCAGGAGGTGTGGGTATGGTTGGGTTGCATGGGCATAGTTGCTGTCTCCCACTCAGTTAGACAAAATGCCTTGCCATAACTATCTCCACTGCCTCTCTTCAAAGGAAATTAATACATAAAACTATTGTAAATTGATGTTGTGGTCTTAGAATTGCCTCATTAACACTCTTCACTCTACTTCTCTGCATCCAAATTTTAATTCCTCTCTAGACATTCCTGAAAGGGGAGCCAGTATGAGTATTTGTCCATTTGACAGTTGAATTTCCCACTATACATTAATAAGTTGGTATTCTAATTTACTCCCCAGTCTCTTGTGAAAATGGTTAACAAATAAATATGAGTTCCTCTGGGCCGAAAAATTCTAAGTACTTTGCAGCATTCTATACTGCAAAGCTACCAACACAATGGACTTTGGTGACCTCCACCCCAGGGTATCATCACCCTGTGTAGTCTCAGTCTTTGACATCCTTTTCTCCTCTTTGAATTCAACAGTCTTTGTGTAGCAAGATGTCACAGTTGGTGTTACAGATTTAACTAACTGGTCCAGGGCCATAGATTCAATTTTTGACAGAGCTAAAGCTAGGAACTAGGTCTCCTAACTCTTTCAGGTATAACCATCTCTGCTGCACTTACCCTGTCATAGCACCCTATTCCAGGGCCAGACCTAGAGTAATTGTTTTTTTTTTTTTTTTTAAATTAAATTAATATTTATTGTGACTTGGATAAAAGTTCACAGAACAAATTTGTTTTCCATACAGTAGTTCATACACATTTTGTCTCATGGTATTGCCTGCAATTCCTCACAATGTAATAGCTTCCTTCCCACTTTCTCCCCATAACCTCTACTCTATGTCCTTCCCTCCCATGTACTCCTGCCCCCTAAGCTGTCTCCCTGTGCAAACACTGCCCTTCTGTTCTCCCATGATTGATCTCTCCAAGGAATGTATCTACCTGATGTCAATATTCACCCCATATGCCTGTCTGTTGTTTGGCTGGAAGCCACAGGAGTGAGTTCAATTCCAGGCTGAAGGGTAATTAGGGGCCATAGTCTCAGGGGTCTCACTAGGCTCTGTCAGACCAGAAAATCTGGTCTTTTTTGTTTTTGTTTTTGTTGTTCCACATTGTTCTCCCTCTCTGTCAAGGATCTCCTGCACCAATCCCCCTCTGAGTGGTTAACAGTGGTGGCAGGGCACCATCTAGTTCTTCTGGTCTCATGGTCTTATAGTCTGAGAATCACATGGTCTACCAGTCCTGTGGACTAATTGTTTCCATGTGTCTTTGCTTTTCTTCATTCTTCTTTGTTCTGGATGAGGAGAGACCCATCATTAACATCTAGATGGCCACTTGTAAGTTTTTAAGACCCTAGTTGCTACTCACCAAAGTAGGATGTAGAACAATGTTTTTGTATAGTATATCCTGCCAATTGAGCTTGATGTCCCCTGTGACCATTAGAGTAATTGGTTTTATATACTAAATCACTACCTTTATTTTCTATACTCCCTCTACATCTTTACTACTGATGAAGTTATTATTGTTAATGTAAGATAGATTTTATTATGAGCCCACAGTTTTCTGGACATAAAGAAATGGATACTGACTAGCCATATTATGTATGCTTAAAATATTCATCAGTCTTCCCTATTACAACCTGAATAGACATGACCCACTAGTTCATAAAGTGGCCTTTATATATTACATAGATTAGTACATATAAATAGTCATATTCATTAGACTCCATTTTAATATTTCCACCACCTGGTATAACTCCTGGCACAAGTTGTTGTTGTTGTTGTTTTTAGTTGTCATCACATTTTCTCTGGCTTCTGGCGACCTTCTGTGTAACAGATGAAATGTTGCCTGGTATTCGAATGTTTGAGTCCATTGTTTCAGCTATTGTGTCAATCCATCTCATTGAGGGTTTCCCTCATTTTCATGAACCATCTACTTCCCTGGTACAACTAGGTTATCCATAATTGTGAACTGGATCACATTGAATTAACTTCATTGAGAGTGATGGGAGGTACAGACAACAAAGATGAACCCTTTTGCACATATAGTCCTGTGTTGTCAGTGAAAGTAAACATGGATATACAGGTGGACAGGCTGAACTATTACATATGTCTATGCAGGGGGCAGTGTGCCATGTATAGGGTTGGCAGACAATGTTTCTGCAAGTGTATTGCTATGTTCTGTAAGAATTCCCAGGTGTAAGGTTGGGCAATCCTACTTCCGTAGTGATACTGCCTCGGAAACCCAAGGAGGGGTCGCTATGAGTTGGGGCGACTCGACGGCACATAACAACAACAACAACAACATAGTAGAGCTGACAAGGGATGAGTTTGTAGTCACTTCTTGAGCACAGCCAGCTACCCAGAGCGAGTGAGTAGTTGGACCTGTGGGGTCGGGACCATAGTCGCAGGGGACATCAAGCTCAGTTGACATAACATACTACACAAAACATAGTTCCACCTCCTACTTTGGCGAGTAGTGACTGGGATCTTAAGAGCTTGCAAGCAGCCATCTAAGTGCAACGATGTGTCTCTCCTCATCCAGAGCAAAGAAGAATGAAGAAAACCAAAGATGCATGAAAACAATTACTTGAGGCGACTGGTAGACCATGCATTCCTCAGCCTTTATGACTGTGAGACCAGAAGAACTAGATGGTGCCTGGCTACCACTGTCAACCACTCGGAGAGTGATCTCTGTAGGAGATCCTGGATAGAGTGGGAGAACAATGTGGAACAAAACTCAAAATTATTTGGGGGAGGGGGGAAGGACCAAGTTTGCTGGTTGCTGGTCTGATAGAGCTTGGTGGAACCACTGAGACTATGGCCCCTAGCTGACCATCAGGTCTGGAATTGAACCCACACCTGTGGCTTCCAGCCAAACAAAAGACAGGCATATAAGGTGAAATTTACACTAGGTTGATACACTCCTTGGAGAGATCAATCGTGGGAGAATAGAAGGGCTGTGTATGCACACAGACATAGCTCAGGGGGCAGGAGTGCATGGAGGGAAGGACACAGGGAAGAGGTAACTATGGGGAGGAAGAGGGAGGGAAGCTGTTGCATTGTAGTCAATGTCATGAGACAAAGTATGTGAACTGCTATATGGAAAGTGAATTTGCTCTGTAAACTTTCACCCAAATCACAGTTTTAAAAAAAAAAATCATTAAGAGTGGCTCTAATGTCATTTGTAATTTATTTGACATCCCTGCTCAGATAGATGTTTAGACTAAGGCACAACTTTCATAGACATATTATACCCAAGTATCTTCTGGTCTGAAAGATCTACCTAATCATGTAGGTCAGTTCTGGGAACTGAGATCTTCCTGAAACTTTGTAGAACAGATTGACTCACCAGCCTAAAGTAAGCACCATATTCTTTCTCTGGTCTCAACTCTTGGAAGGTCCAGAAAGTCTTAGTATGTGAAAGCAGGTGTCATAGAAGCACTCAGAAATATGATGGTACTGGTTCAAACCCAGTAAATGAACTTGTTGTAGTAAATGCTAAAACCCAAAATAATGAACAGTAACACCTCCCTTAGGAGCTCTGGTAGCATAGTGCCTAAGGCACTTGACTGATAACCAGAAGGCTGGTGGTTCAAACACACCAGCCACTCCTTGGAAGGAAGGTTGGGCAATCTACTTCCATAGTGATACCGCCTCGGCAACCCAAGGAGGGGTCACTGTGAGTTGGGGCCGACTCGACGGCACATAACAACAACAACAACAACAACATCTCCCTATAGGTGCCTTTTAATCATATTATCCTTATGTTTATCATGTCATGAGTGAAGGTCAGTAAGGTACTTTATTTTCTCAGAACAGGATATCTTTTTCCTGAAGGGTTGTGTTGGTATATGTAGGATATATTAGATAGAAGTAAAGCAATGACTAGTTATTTTTTTCTGTTCAGTTCCAGTAATTTTTTTTTTCATAGATACTTCTGAAGCCTCTAGCTTTCACTGTTTTTTTCATTCATGTATTTTTGCTTTAAAATATAACATCCAAAATGCCTGGCATCTACGTTTTTTTCCCAATATGTTTTGATGGTGGTAAAGTCCTAAACAATATGTTATTTCCTGACGCATTCATCTTCAGGGTGTTCTGGGATAGTTGCTCAATAATGTCATGAGAACAGTTTGAATTTGCAAAACATTTGTCATTTTCTCCTGTGTTGCCAATATGTGTCTAGTAACCATTTGTTCCTAACACTTTTGTCTGCGTGTACAACAACTCCATAAATCCATAAAGGTTAATAATAGCATTAAAAGTAGGTTGGAATATGCCTTTAGTACCTAATTCTTCTCCTAAATCCAACCTAAATACTTTTGTTCTTCTTAGAACTACTTATGACTGTATAGAGATATATGTCTTTATGAAAATTTCCAACAAGTTCTCAGTGAAGACTCTGGAATATTTAATGCTAAGTGATAATCATCCATGTTAACTGCTCAAAGAATTTCCCACATGTGTAGGTGGCAGAAATCATACGGATTTGAATCATGGTTTTATAAAACATGGTTCATAGAATATGCTTTTTTTCAGTTAAACAAAACTTCCTTCCCATCTTGAAAGAGTGAAGTAAATGTTTGTCCTAATTATTAATATCCATTCATTTTATTTCAGCATTACAGGCATGGATGGGAAGAAATGCAGCGTCTGGATGTTTTTGCCTCTTGTATTTACCTTGTTTACTTCAGCTGGATTGTGGATAGTGTAAGTATTCTCTTATTTAATTATTTAAGGATTCAAGGGCAATGTAGATAAAAATGTAAAGCTTTAATGATACATATTCATTGCCATTGTTTTGGTCCTCTAGTGCAGGTCCACAAATGGGATGGCTTTAACAAACAGGGATTTATTCTCCTGCAGTTCAGGAGGCTAGAAGTCCGAATTCAAAGTGCTAGCTCTAGGGGCTGTGTGAAAGCCCCTTGACCTTGGGCTTCAGCTGTGCCTTTTGCTCCCAGCCCACTAAAGCTGGAGGCTTCTTTTAACTCAGACAGCTACTGGCTGGCAAACCCAAGGTCGAAAAAGAAAAGTCCCAAAATTATCAGACAGCACAGAAGGCCACTAGTTCAAGTCCAGCAACAATCCTAAGCTCCGCAGACAACATGGCCAGCCACTGAGGTGAAGACTTGGCTACATGCAGGGTCCCAGTGTGCCAAAAAGCTTGAGACCTTCCTCAAAGCTTCTTCTTATAATACTGGAAGCAGACCACATCTCTAAGGCAGCTACTCAGCTGCTCCAGTAGATTCCACCATGGAGTTGATTACCAGTCTCATCACGGGGAATAACTACATCCAACTGTCCAGCTACTCAAAACCACGCCCAGCCAAGTTGAAACACAACTACCACAGCCAGTCAAGTCTGTTCCAAATCCTAAGCAACTCTATAGGACAGAGTAGAACTGCCCCATTGGGTTTCCAAGGCTGTAATTTTCATGGAAGCAGACTACTACATCTTTGTCCTGTGGAGTAGCTGGTAGATTTCCAACTGCCAGCCTTTTGGTTAGCAGCCAAGTGCTTAATCACTGCACCAGCAGGTCTCCTTTAATGATAAATAGCACCTCTGTATTCATGTACTGATGTTGTTGTTAGATGCCGTTGAGTCAATTTCAACTCATAACCCCATGTGACAGACTAGAACTACCCCATAGGATTTTTCATTCTGCTGTGCATAGGGTTGCTATGAATCGGAGATGATTCGATGGCACCTAGCAACAACAACAACAAAATAGGACCTTTCTAGGTGTTTCTCCTAGGGAGCTGCTGGGTGTGTTTGAACCACTAGCCTTTTGATTAGCAGCTGAGCCCTTAACCATTGTACTACCAGGACTCTTTCATGTACTTATAAATACTTTGAAATAGCGTCTTTACTAATTCAACCTTGATAAAGTCCCCATTTTTCTTTTATTTTTCTAATACCCAAAATAAATAACAAGAGTGAATAATAAATTATGCGAAAGAGGTAGTGAAGACTAATGGTTTTATTTTGTGTTTGTGTGTTCTTCTAGTAATGGACATTCTATAAACTAATTGCATAAACTCATTATTTGTAAGTATGTGCTAATTTGATGAGAACATGCTATAGATTCCATGTATAGTTCAGTTTATGATCCAGTTATTTGTGAATGGGCCTGGTATGTTTATAAAATGTCATAAAATAGAATTATATCAACAGTCTTGGCTTAACACAAAACAATTCCACATTTGCTAATATCTAATAATAGTCACTTCAGGAGATTCAGTTCTTTAAGACAGGTGAACGTATATTTCTGAGAAATTAGAAACTTTGAATTCTAGTTTTAGTTTGCCTACATTCTAAGGTAATTAATATTTCTTTGTTTTCCATCTTCCCCATCTAGATCATAATGAATGTGATTGATTTGGGGAAGGGGGGAAATGTTATTAATAATGACATTTGCACTTCAAAGAGCTAGGTGATCCACAAGTGAAGATTTCTAGTAACAGAGCATTTTCTCAGACCAGAAATTTTTTTTAAAAAGGAGTGATTTTTGTTTAATGTGGTTAGTCTGATAAAACCAAGAAACAAATTACTCTTTTTTAAAAATAATTCTTTGTTTTATAAACTTTTATTGTTTTCTTTTTCTTGATAGATACTTCATAGCTGTGGAAGATGACAAAATTTTCCCGTTAAATTCAGAGGAAAGGTAAAGTTTATCTCTGGGTAATCCCTCATTCATCAATAAGTTTAGCAAAAAACTTTGCTACTACTGAGATTAAATTGTACATAAATAACCATCCTTTAACCTGCACTTCTGTGCTTTTGTTCTGCAGGAAACCTGGTGTGAAACATGCACCATATATAAGGTAACTTGATAATTCTCTTCTGATTTGTTAGATCTTATTAAAAGTTGGAAGGGCTATAGATTTTAATATAAGAACGATAATATGTTTAATATTTTTCAAGTATTGCAGGTGATGAACCTCCTGCCAGCTGTGTGTTTAGCCAAGTAATGAACATGGCAGCATTTCTAGGTAAGAGCAGCAGAAATAATGCTTTTTATGCTGAAGGAGCTCTGGTGGCATAGTGCATAATGTATTTGACTGCTAACTAGAAGGTTAGCAGTTCAAACCCACCAGCCATTCTGCTGAAGGAAGCCTGGACATTCTATTTCTGTAAAGATTTAAGACCTCGGAAAGCCAAAGGGAGTCGCTATGATTCAGAATCAACTCGATAGCAGTGAGTTTTTTTTTTTTTTTTAATGCTTGGATGCATTTCTTTTTTTGTTTTAAATTTTCCTTTCGTGTATCAGGGTCACAGTGGGCTTAGTTGACAATGTGCTATCATGTCAATATACTGAAGACAGCTTTTTCTTTTCCTCATGAGTTCTTTCACATTTCCTGTGTTTCTCTTACATGTTCTCTTTCCTTTATCATCTTTACCCCTTCAGCTTATTCTTGACTTAATTTCTTTTACTGCATGGTATAATGTATTTCATGTGTCATAAAATCCTGTGTGAGAATGTCATATAATACAATACATTTGCTTTGAAAAGAATGCCTTATTTAATCTTTCACTGGCAAAGATGAAAAAGTGCATAGGCTCTTGATAAATATTGATGTGTGTGGATATTATCTTTAAATCTAAAGGTCAGCATTAACCTCAAGATGACACTTTCCCCTGTGCCTACAAGTTGGCAAGTGAAAACTAGATGGCGGGGGGACCTTTGTTACTCATGTGTTGTTATTGGTAGATGCTGTCAAGTCAATTCTAACTCATAGCAACCCTATGTCACAGAATAGAACTACTCCATAGGGTTTTCCCAGCTGTAATCTTCATAGGGGCAGATCATTAGGTCTATTTCCTGCAGAGCCACTGAGTAGGTTTGAACCACCAACATTTTGGTTATAATCATTGCACCACCAGGTCACCTTAGGTACTTGTATCCAGCCCTAATTCCCCACTTTTTCCTCAGGCCCCAAGACCTTCATTGAATATCCTGCCCTCCCTTGTTCTGTGAGTGCTTCCATGGTCCTGTTAAGTCTTCAGGGAATTGTAGAAACCAGCCACATAACAACAACAACAACAGCCACACTCTCTACCCTTTTTGAAACCTCCCTGGTATACCATCTCCTTAAGGCCAGGCTTTCATAGTTTTTTTTTTAAACGTATTCCAGCCTACATTTAATTTTTTTTTTTTAATTTTTTGGTGAAAATATACACAACAAAACATACTTATTCAGAATTTTCACATGTATAGTTCATTGGCAGTGCTTACATACTTCACACTGTGTCACCATTCTCCCTGTCTCTGCCCATATTCTTTCATCACCATTAACTTAGACTCTGCCCCTTAAAGTTCTCATCTGTGTTTTAGAGTTAATGTTGACCATTTAATCTCACATAGATAATTCTTTAAAGGAATACAATTCTTGAGGCAAACATTCTTCATTAAATGAGTTAAACTGTTGTTTACTTTAAAGATGACTTCATGGGATAGTTTTGGTTCAAGGATTAAAAATTGTTTCCAGGCAATAGATTCACAAGTTCCTCCAGTCTCAGTGTTTCCAGTAAGTCTAGTGTCTGATAAGAATTTGAAGTTCTGTTCCACATTTTATCTCCTTTTAATCAAGATCCATCTATTGGCTCTTTGATCAAAACGTTCAGTAATTGTAGCTAGGCACTATCCATTTCCTCTGGTCTCGTGGCAAAGGAGTTCATGGAGGCAATTAGACCTCACGGTGTCGTTGTGTGTGTGTGTGTGTGTGTATGATTTGAGTGAAGGTTTACAGAGAAAATTCATTTTCCATCCAAGAGTCCATACACGCTTTGTTTCATGACACTGATTGCAATCTCCATAATGTAACAGCAATCTTCCTACTTCCTCCCTATAGTTACTTTTACCCTATATCTTTCTTTTCTATTCATTCCTACCCTCTAAGCCATCTCCCTTTGCAAATGCTGCCCTTCTAATCTCCCATGCTTGATTGTTCTAAGGAGTGTACCTACCTGGTGTAATTGTTCACCTTATAGGCCTGTATGTTGTTGGCTGGAAGCCATGGGAGTGAGTTCACTTCCAGTCTGAAATGTGACTAAGACCATAGTCTCAGGGCTTCACCAATCTCGATCAGACCAGTAATCCTGATCTTTTTTTCTATGATTTATGAGTTTTGCTTCACGTTTTTCTCTGACTGTATCCAGGATCTTCTATTTTGATCCCTTTCTCACTGGTTGACAATGGTGGATGGGCACCATCTAGTTCTTCTGGTCTCATGATCATGTAGCTGAGGTTTGCACGGTCCACCAGTCCTTTGGACTAATTGTTTCCATGCATCTTTGATTTTCTTCATTCTTCTTTGCTCCAGAAGAGGAGAGACCAATTGGTGCATCTTAGATGCTGCTTCCAAGCTTTTAAGACCCTTGTCACCTCTTACCAAAGTAGGATATAGAGAAATGTTTTTGTGTAGTATGTTATGGCAATTGAACTTGATGTCCCCTGCAACTGTGGTCCCAAGCCCACAGGCCCAGCAACTCACTCCCTCAAAGTGTTTGACTGTGGCTAAGAAGTTATTATAATGTTGTCCCCTGTCAACTCTATTATATATATGGACATTCTTACAGCACATACAAATACGTGTGTAGAAGTATTGTCTTTCTAACCTACATATGTAGACTTCACAGTGTCTTTTAAAGTCAAGTAGCTCTCATTGTTGGTGTGCTGTTGGTAAAGGACCAGTAACAGCTAAATCTTTCAACAATGGATTTTCTAGATATTAGGTGTTACTTGTCTTTTTTTGTTGGATGTTCAAGTTTTTTTCTTTGATTGTTGAGGAGGCATAGATAATACATTTGCCAATTCAGTGTTTTTCATGTGTATAATTCAGTGATATAAATGATATCTTTCATGTTGTGCGTCCATCACCAAAAATTGTTGCCAAATTTTCCACCACCATAAACAGAAACTCAGTGCTTCCCAACAGTAGCTCCCCATTTTTTTCCCTCCCTCCACTGGCAATCACTAATAACCTATGGTCTCTATATATTTGCCTGTCTACATATTTCATACAAGTGAGATAATACAGTATTTGTCCTTTTGTGATTGACTTACTTCACTCAGCATGGTGTTTTCCAGATTCATCCATGTTGTGACATGTATCAGGACTTTATTTCTCTTTATGACTAAGGAATATTCCATTATATGTATATACCACATTGTGTTTACTCATCTTTGTGTGTGTGTGTGTGTGTGTGTGCTTTGGGTGCAAATTTATAAAGCAAATTTGTTTTACATTCAACAGTTCATGCACATTTGATTTCACAGGCCCTATTACCATCTCCAACCATAAAAAACTCTCCTCCCCTCCCTTACCTGTGACTGCCCCCTCCCTGTGCCCTTCTTATTATGCATCCTGTCTATCCAGCTTTCCCTCTATGCGAATGCTGCCCCTCTAGTGTCTCTGGGCTGATTGATCTGAGGGGTGCATCTCCCTAGTGTTTACTCATCTATTGATGGACATTTAGGTTGTTTCCACCTTTTGTCTATTGCCTATTGTGGATGGTACTGCAGTGAGTAGAAATTTTTTTAGGGGGTGGTGTTGAAACTTACACTCCAAGTAAGAGGTAAAGATAATGTTATTTGGCCTTTATGTCACCTGTCCCCCAGAGAAGTGACCTATTACTTCATCTGTGATGAAACTTCTCCAACTTCTTACTCTCACGTAACAATTTTTCTTTTAATGTTTGCTATAGGAAAAGGGAAGGAGGTCTGGTGGTGCAGTGCCTAAAGCAATTGACTACTAATCCGAAAGTTGGCAGTTCAAACCCACCAGCTACTCCACAGAAGGAAGATGGAGTACTCTACTTCTGTAAAGATTTACCCCCTTAGAAACCCAATAGGGGTCACTGTGAGTCAGAATCAACTTGATGGTAGTGATTTTTTTTGGGATATAGGAAAAGGGAAGGATCCCTTGTGGTACAGTGGTTAAGCACTAGACTGCTAAGTCAAAGACTGGCAGTTTGAACCCACCCAATAGGAGGCTCCTTCAGAGAAAGACCTGGAGATCTGCTCCCATAAAGATTACAGCCAAGAAAATATTATGGGGCAGTTCTTCTCTGTCACGTGGGGTTGCCAGGAGTTGGAAATCAACTTGATGGCACCAGTGGTGTAGTGAATTGCATGGTATGGCTTTTCTAGCCATAGTCTTTGTAACTCCTACTGGATTGCTGGGTAGGACCTGCAAATATGTGTCAACTTGGCTGGGCAGCTGGTAGTAGTTATTTCCTATAATGAAAATGGCAGTTAACTCCATGGTAGAATTTGCCATGAGCAACTGAATAGCTACTTTTAAACTCCTGATTGTTAAAGTCATCCACCTAAGGTATTTCTGTTGGAGCAGCATGAAGTAATCTTCTTGGAAAGTTCGATCTCTGTCAGGTGTGTAGAACTCTGATGCTGGAATTGGTTAGTTTTGCCACTCTGCCAGGCTTAAAATGAGCCCTCCTAGATGCAGAGGGGGAATCTCACTGCCGGCTGAGATAGACACCTTGCTGAGAGATGGCAGCAGTGGCACCAAGAGGCATGAGACAGAGAGGCAGGCTTACCTGGCCCACAGAGGCAGAGGCCAGGCCTAGAGGCCAAGGGACAGAAAGATGTGTCTAAGGATACAGCAGAGGGGAGACCATCCTGATCAAAGAACTGTATCCTGAGCACATTCCTGAACTTGAATTGTAGCCTGTTGCTTCCCTAATAAGCCCCATAATCTGTGAGTTCTGTGTGGCCACTGTAATGAATTATCGAACCCAGCAGAGAGGTGGTGGGTGCCGCAAGAAGGACGGTTGGTATCAAGGTTGGTAAGATGGCTGGAGGATGACAGCATTTCTGGCTTCATAAGAACAGGCCTTGGCCTGCTGATGGTGATTCTGTTTTCCTCTTGTGTAGAGGAGGTCAAAAGATGCTGCCTCCTTGCCCCTAAATTTATCAGCACCTAACCACAGCAACATGAGAAAAGAGAAAACCTATATAAGTCATTGGAAA